GAGGCCTCGACACTCCTATTTGTTTATATGCAGCCCTTTCCTTTCCATGACAAAGCTAAACCTCGGCTCCCCAACCTGGAAAACCCGGTTTAGAATTTACATTGTGGCGTTTCAAAACTTGGACAGCTTAACTGCAGCACACAGCAGATTGAAGGAAGAAAGGTTAGCTGTTCAAACTTCTAAATCTTTATAATGATTCAACTCAAATAAATTAAGATTTATTCAAAACTTCTAGACTACTCTACTTAATCTACTTTTGTCTAAATCATTTTACAATCTGTCTTCACCACATGGAGAAACAAATTGAGACTTATAAAAGAATAAAACACACCTGCTACCAACAACAGTCATTAGGGGCGTCGGTGGCCGCAACGGTTTAGGCGTTGACACGGCGCTCATCACTGTAAGGTAAAGGTCCCGGGTTCGAATCCAGCGGCCCTGCATTCGAGCCCGACATACCTACAAATGAGCTTTTTTTCAAAAACACCGGCACCCTGAGGGTTGATATAACCTCTGCTGTTGAGAACCCTCGAAAAAAAAATCATTGGAGTTTAATTTTTAATCATTCAAACAACTCGGATGGCACATGATGATATGAATTAAAAGTATAGTGGAAGGAAATTTGAATATTTCCCCTAACTCTCCGTACATGAGGGTCCTACTTTGCTTTGTAAGCAAAATGTAATTTGCCATCATTCATGCTTTCGTCAATATCATATGTTTTAAGAGAGATCACCAAAAACATTTACAATTTAATTATGCCTAATTTAACCATTACAGTAAACATTCGTTATTTTGTATGAATGTTGGCGTTATTGGTAATCTACAATTGTCCTATTTTTGTTTCGAAACCTTTTCCGATCAAGTTATTAGTTTTATAGCTTTTATTAAAACATAATACTCCTTTTAACTTTAAAAATCTATTTTTAATTAACTCCTTTTTGAAAATGTACTACTCCATCTGACTACTTGCAGAATTTACAAGCATTAGTCTGTTTATGCTCGTTGGTGAATTAATTATTTTGGTATAATTTAAACCGAAATAGTGATTTATTCCAACGCTTGTAATTATTTGCACTTTTTGTAAAATAAAGTTATCTGGTGGCTACAATGGTACCGGATGGTTTATACACTGCAGGCAAAAAATTCCACCCACTTGCAATATAACTTGTTTTGTATATGTGTTTATATATCAATCAACTTTTCACGTTTTCTAACGTTTAATAATTGAGTCTTTGTCTAAAAAACTAAAAAAAAAATTAAATTGCTTAGGAAAATGAAAAAAAAAAAAAGACGGGCAGATAAAATTTGTTGTAATTTTGTTTTAGATTTTTAATTTCAATAACGCACTTCCTTCTCTTGCTTTAATTTCACCTCGAAGACGCCTCAGCATACTTTCTACCAGTTTGGAAATTTCCCTTTGCTGGAGGTTAGCCCATTCTTTGCAAAGAGTCCTTTCAAGATCATGGAATCTATCAGGAAGTGATGGACGTGCTCTTATTCATCTTTTGAGGTTATCCCATAAATGTTCGATGGGGTTCAAATCTGGAGAAAAGGCTGGCCAGGCCCAGACCTTGATGAATAACGTTGAAGATATGTTTGTACTATGCGAGAGACATGTGGACGGGCATTATCGTGCATTAGAATAGGATTGTCACTGATTTCATCGGGGATAGGTTACCCATTATGTTCCAAAATTTCATCCACATAGTGAGTGGCCATCGTACATTCCAACGAACATGAACCAACACTGTGCGACTCTCCATTGAAATTGCCGCCCACACAATCACTGAGCTACGTTGAAAAGGTTGGCTCTGGGAAAGTTTATAAGCTTCCAATCTTTTATTTTTTATTTCTCTACACTCTTTCACGCTCATCTGGAGATCGTAGAGCAAATCTACACTTATTTGTAAAAAGTACAGCAGAACAATCGTCCAAAGACCAATTCTGGTCTTGTTACGGTACGAAAATCCATCAGACCGTTCTGATGAAGTCTTTTTCGAGAAGTGCGTTCAGAAATTTGGACACTCGAACTCCTGGAGCTGATGAATCGCTTGAACATCAGTAAGGTGCCGGTTTCGCAAAATTCTCAAATTTGCCATCCTGTGGTTCGGTTACCCTAGGGCGACCACAACCATGCCTTCTATGGTAGAACCCAATTTCTGGAAAAGTCTGCGTCTCGCAGTGTTTCGTAGGAAACTACGATGGCAAGAACCGCATAACTGATGGAACGCCCATCATCAATCTCCACGCACAACATCCTAAGTGACATTTTTAAGTTTAAAATTGAAATTAAGCAAACAAAGAAGAAAACTAAACTGTTTATTGCTTCAGAATTCAAATGATACTGAAGAAACATTTTAAATTCCGCAAAAAGTAAACATGGACAAATCCATTATCTTTGTTTTGGATTAAGGATTAAGTGTGTTCACCTCTAATTGATATTCCCAATTTAAAACATAGCATAAACAAATATTGGTATAAACAATGAGACAAATAAAAAGCAGAATTTTTTTTAATCGAGAAAATGAAAAAAAATCAATTGGGTAGTATTTTTGGCCTGTCAGTGTATTGTTAACATATTTTTTAGCCTTCTAACGTTTGAGTTTGTAATGTTTTACTAATTTAAAGTTGAGATAAGTCTCCAAGATCCAAAGGAAATTCTTTTGATGAAAAAATTGACACCAGTTAATTTATATAGGAAACTTGAAGCATTCGCATTAGGTAGCTTGCACTAACTGAAATATGTATTGGAGAAGAAAGAATCGGAGGATTCAAAGATAACGATGTTGAATATCATAATTTTGACTTTGAAATACTTGATACCAACCTAAGCACTAAGCATTGTTGGCTGGCTGATAGACTAAAAAACGAAAAACTGGATGTTATTTAGATAAAAATATGGACCTAATAAACTCAAGAAGGTCAAATGTTTTTAGCAAATTTCTTTTGTTAGTTCAGTAGTTGAATTATTTGAATTTTTTACGGACAGTGTTTGGAATCTTATTAAAATCAAACAGAAAAACATAGGGATTTATATAAAGAAAATTGAACTATTTCTTTGGAAGGAATGAAATTTTTGTAAGAATTATGATTCTCAGAGAATACAATACTGTACATGTGAATCGTAATTAATGTGAATAAGCTGATCTAATTAACAAACTTTTGCGTATGCCATGAAAAAAAACATGGAAACTATAGCAAAATTTCATCACTTTTCAGACAAAAATTTCATTGACTCAAATGACAAAGGATACAGAGTAAGGGAGCTGACTTAAACAAAAAAATCTGTATAAGATTTCACAGCAAAATCTCTTCTTTTAGATGGTTGTTTAATATTTTTTCTTTAAGATGTCTTGTAACATGATCCCACAATTGCTGGATAAGGTTTTAATCGAGCGATTGGGCTGGTGTCCGGAGCTGCCTAGCCATTTTCAAATTTTCCGACCCATGTGTTTGGGGTCTTGCTGAAAACGGAAAGTCTTTTCTATACCCGATTGTGCTTTCCTTTAAATTCTGATTTAGACGTATTGGTATAAAAAACCCCTTGACATGTGTGAATTGCAAACTCTTCTATAGCTCATGCAATTTGCACCCTCAAACAAGCATCCCACTCCTCGTTAATATTCTTTAATTTCAAGCCAAACGTCTTTCCTAAGAAATTAAATTAGTTCTCATCTGTAAAAATGACAGTGCTCAAGTAAATGCTCTTTTGTTCTTCTGGAGTATATAGGACTTCTTTCTGGGATCTGTTGCATGTCTTGTTTTCTAATAATATTTCATACTGTTTAGGGCGCCACTTTGAATTTCGGAGACACTTGTTTACAGGCCGGTAGTCACTTCTTTTAATTCTTCTGGCCGACCTAAAAGCAGTTTTAAGCATTACCGAGCTCCTTATACCGGAAGATTATGCAATGAATTGAGGGTCATTTATTAAAAGTACATTTCCCATTTCACGAAATGATTTTCCTCCATTGTACAATCAAACAATTACTTCCTGAACTGACCGAAGTATTTCCATATTGAAGGCTAATATAGTACTAACTAAGCAAAACATGCTGGCCATTAACATAACATTGCACAAAGTAAACAAAGAATCAAGATTTCGACAGTAAATTTTGGAGAGAAAAAGTATTTGCATAGATATTCGGAAACTGTTTTTGCCTTTCGATTAGTGAATTCAAAGCTATTATGAAAACAAATAACTTTTAAATTGAATAATTTATTTTTTAACCCCATTAGAGTTCTTGGTCGGATTGACCAATTAACTTTTTTCGATTAATTAATATTTATGAAAGGAAAAAGGAGTGGGATTCGAACCCACGACCTTCATTTAAATACACCGCTGCTCTACCACTTGCAACCTCACCTCTCGAATTTTCCCTCCTTTTTGCCAATTTTTCAAATGTCGTGTAATCTATTTGATTCTCGGCGACAAATGAAATGGCCACGAAGAGCTTTCGTGAAGATATACTTCAGTTTAATTGTTAAATCCATTAAAGTTCGTGGTCCGATTGACCGATTAACTTTTTTCCAATTAATTAATATTTATGAAAGGTAAGATGGTTGAGATAAAACGTTATAAACGATCAAAAAAATTTAACGTTCAAAATTTGGGGCGTTAAGGCGTTGTTGACACTGCGCTCTCACTATACAATAAAGTTCCCGAGATCGAATGAGTGAGTGAGTGANAGAGAGAGAGAGAGAGAGAGAGAGAGAGAGAGAGAGAGAGAGAGAGAGAGAGAGAGAAAGAGACATTGTCAGAGAGCATGGTAACGGTGCGGGTAAAAGAGAGTGAGAAATGAAGCATGATAAGAACAGAAAGATTTAAACAAATAAAGAGAGAGGTAGGTAGATTGAAAAAATGTTAAATAAAAGAGATGCAAGGCAGACAGAGGTAGAAAAAATTTAAAAGTTATGATACGGGAGGTGTTTTTTCATATTCGGCGCGCTTTTCCTAATCGATTCTTTGTATCGATAGCTTGCCACATGTGGACTAGCAGTTACCAAAACGCCCACTGGGCCCAGCGTCCTGATCAGTTGTTAAATAGAAAATTATTAAAAACAATGTAGATTTTAGTCGTGAGTTTAGCAGTCTTTCTCGCTATTTCATTATTCAAAAATCCAGACAACCCACTGATCAGACCCGTTGAAATTGATAGAGGAAGAGTTCAAGTGGAGACAAAGTGTTATCTGTTTTTGTTGCTTTTTTTATTTGACTGCTCGGAGTCACTCATTTCAGGATCGTACGTGTTTCAACTATAAACGACATCCCTATCAGGTCAAAGTTACGTGCAATTTATACGTTCTAGATGGAAATGTGCACACGTTCCCATGACGAGATCGTCCACATAAACTCTCTCTCGGACGACATCAAGGCCCTTTATCTGAACGATGACTACAGCGATGTCACCCTCAGGGTCGAAGGAGAATCGTTCAAGGCTCACAAAGTCATCCTGGCAGCAAGGAGCGAGTATTTTAGGTAACAATAACACAAAATTGTGCTTAATTTAATACCGAAACGGTCTTCGTCGTCGTTAGTTTACCATCAAGTCCATGTTCGAAGAAATATCCTGACCACTTTCCTGAGACAGTGAGCTTAATTTAAAATGCCTCCTCGTTGTTGGCACATTGTAGGTACTTTGTTTATTCTGGTTGACAGCCATTGCCATAGCCCAAAATAACTGCATTGGCAAATTAAAAATATACATAGTGCTATCGATAATAACATACCCAGGGAGAACATGAACTTGGGTTTTTGCTATGATTTTGGTCTGCCTATCTTCTCTTTAGTCTGTCGGATGTGTTTCAGATTCTCTCCAAGTTCATAGTTGCGATTGTATGTTTATTTTTTTGGGATTTATATAGGCCCAAATGCACATGTATACGCACTTACAAACATATGCCAAGTTAAGTGTGGGTGGTAGTCCACCAGCAGTCCCAGCTTTTGCTGTTTACAGTAAATTGGCAGCATACTCGTAAATCACCCACCCAGGGTGTTGGCAGTCTGGGGAAAGACTTCAGTCTTATCCGCCCAGCCACCAAGGTTTGACTCGGGAGGAGGGGAGGCCTCAATAGCTAGGTCAATTCAGGACCCATTGCATGCAGCGCCAAACCCATTTGTCCTCAGGTTCATTCTTAAATACTTTCACTCCTATTACATGCCATTCATACCATTAGGAGGTGGATATTCCTCCAACACATAATTATACAACTAACCTAATTAAGGGTCTGCCCATCCACTCTTTAGTCTGTTGGATGGGTTTCAGATTCTCACCATGTTCATTGTTGCATTTGTATGTTTATTTTTTTGGGATTTATATAATTCCAATGCACACATACATACATACATACAAACATGTACCCAGTTGAGCCTTTTCTCTTCCCATGGTCCACCAGCATTTCCAGCTTTTGCTATTCACAGTAAATTGCCAACAGACTCGAGAAACACCCACCCTGGGTTTCAGCTGGTTGGAAGCAGACCTCAGTCTCAGCCACCCAGCCACCATAGTTGGCCTCTCGTGGTGGTGGTGGTGGTAGGGGATGTCAACAGCTAGGTCAATTCAGTACCCAACGCATGCAGTTCCAAACCCATTCGTACTCAGGTTCATTCATAACCTCATTCACTCGTATTTCCATACCATTCAGGCCATTAGGGAAATGGATATTCCTTTCTTTTTATTTTAGATTTATAAAGGACCAAATGCACACATACGTACGTACATACAAACATGTGCTAAGTTGAACCTATTGGCTTTTTGTAGTACATTCATTTTTAAATAATTCCTAAATATTTTTAAAAATATATTACTCCTAATAATTTATACATAAAATTCTTAAATACACACTCCTAGTTACATACCATTCATGCCATTAGGGTGGTGGATATTCCTCCATCACCTTTACACATGTACAACTAACCAAATTAAGGGTCAGTGGGGTACGATATTCTGCCATCGACTCTCTCATATCAAACATTCACACTAATAAATACTTTCTCTCTCAACACAACCTTTGCACGTACAATACAACTAACTTAATTAAGGGTCAATGGGGTATGATATTCTGCCATCGACTCTCTCATATCACAATTCACGCTAATAAATACATACCCTTTCAACACAACCTTTGCACGTACAATTCAATTAACCTAATTAAGGGTCGGTGGGGTACTCAACATTCTGCCATCGACTCTCTCTCAAAAACACAATTCACGCTAATAAATACATTCACTCCCAACACAAACTTGGTATAGACAACTATTATTACTACAATAGAAAGCCTTCTTTCCTCCAAGCATTAGAACTGGGAACCAATACACCACCATGGACCAAGTGCAATCTGTGTTAAACTGTCAGATGAAATGACAGTATGCGTCATCAGCAGTGTTACCTAACTTTATACATGTAAAATAAAAATGAAACCACCACTTTTTTTACATAATTCGCATTAGTTTGCTAAAACGTTTGCAGACAATGAAAGACTTTTTAATTTAAATACCTCTAAAGAAATAAATGTTCCTCACAGATCACACATTTTGCACTTGGCTAGTAGCTTTTGCATCACTTTCCCTAACTATCACTCTTAATAACTTCCGTGATGGCAACTTTTCCATAACCTCTCAATAGAATTTGGAGTCTTTATTATTTACAAATTCTGTGAACTCATTTTCTAATGACTTTTGATCAATAAATTTTTTATGTTGTAAAACATTATCCAGGTGTCTGATTCTCGATGCTGAAATGGTCAATGTCAAAAATTGATAGGCCCTCATCGGTTGCAGGTTGAGCTTATATAAGCTTAATATATTAGGCAAATTTGAAAAGCTTGACACTTGTACTAAATACTTTTGATGGCCATCATAGAATTATTGAAAATAAAAATGTTGCATAGCCTTTTAAAAAAATTTATTTTTAGAAAGATTTTGGCTCAGTTTTCTTGTTTGAATAATAAAAAATTTTACAACACAAAAATAATATAGTTTTTGTTTTTACAGGGCTTTATTATATGGTGGCATGAGAGAGTCAAGCCAGACGGAAATTTCCCTGTGTGTCTCTAATGTTGTTGCATTTAAATCGTTACTTAAATACATATACACGGGACGATTGTCACTTGCAACATTAGTGGTAATATAATTTCCGTGCACAGTCACATCGGATTATAATTTTATTTTTATTTACAGGAAGATGTCACGCTGGACATTCTCGGCCTTGCTCACCAATATGGGTTTCAGAACCTGGAAAAAGCAATCTGTGACTTCTTCATCGACTCCCTCTCCACGCAGAATGTCTTCTCTATATATGATGCGGCACGGTTATACCAGTTAAAAAACCTAACGGAAACCTGCAAGACATACATCGATCAGAACATTCCCTCCACCTTAGCCTCCCACACCAACAGCTTCTTACTTCTTTCTGCTGTAATTAAACCTCTCAGTTAATGTTATGCGTACTATCGTTCATTAATGCCTTAGGTTGAAGTACATTAAAAATTATAATAAATTTATCTTTAAATTTTTTTGTGTTTTTAGGAAGGGCTGAAAGAAATAATAGAAAGGCATTCCTTCTATGCACCTGAACTCGAGATTTTTAAAATTGTCCTTGCCTGGTGTGAAGCGAACAATATGAAAGGAACTCCACAGCTCCAGCATGTTTTGAGTGCTGTTAGATTTGAGCTCATGTCTCTTGAGGATCTTTGCACCGTTGTCAGACCTTCTGGCCTTGTCGCGTCTGAAACTATCCTCGATGCTTTAGAACAACAGACCAGCCTGCGTTGCAATGCTCTTCGCTACCGTGGAACTCTTAGTATGTTTATTACGCTAATTGAAAAATACTAATATAAATAAATTAACATAATTTCAGATTTTTTCAATTAATCTTTATGAAAGGTATTGGTTGAGATAAAAAAAAACCAGTGCCACAAGTGGGATTCGAACCCATGACCTTTGGCTCAATACGCCACTATCATGACTTCGATCCTTTCGGACACAACTTCCCATCTCAACCTTTTGAATTTCCCCTCCTTTTTGCCATTTTTCACCTTTCATAAAGATTAATTAATTGAAAAAAGTTAATTGGTCAATCGGACCACGAACTCTAATGTATTTAATAATTTCAGATGTAAATGTAAACATGGCAGAGCCATGTTGGGGCACGCAAGTACTTCAAGGAGAAATGAAATCCGCCTTGCTCGATGGCAACACGATGAATTACGATATGGAAAACGGCTATACAAGACATTCAATCAATGATGTCCGGGATAGTATTATTATTAAATTGGGTTCACAGTGCATCGTAAACCACATTAAAATGCTTCTTTGGGACAAAGACTTAAGGTAATTAATTATTAAATTTATACAATAAAAAAAGCTTTATTTAATTTTTTTTCAGGTCATACTCTTATTATATTGAAGTGTCGATTGATAAAAAGGACTGGGTTAGAGTGATAGATCACACAAATTATTACTGTAGATCATGGCAAAAGCTTTATTTTGAACCAAGAGTTGTAAATTACATAAGAATTGTCGGTACTTACAATACAGTCAATCCTGTTTTCCATATCGTAGCTCTTGAAGTTATGTATTCTACAGACAACTTCGTCCTTGTCGATGGGCTAATTAGTAAGTGAGAAAAAATATTTTTAAAAATGCTATAAACTTTTTATATATATTTTTTTTAGAACCTCTTTACCATAATGTTGCAACAACGAAGGAGAGTGCATCTGTTATTGAAGGAGTGTGCCGTACAAGGAATTCCCTTCTTGACGGTAACTTGGTCTACGACTGGAATAACGGGTACACGTGCCACCAGATCGGAAGCGGGGCTATACTCGTGCAACTCGGTCAGCCTTATATGATAGATTCAATGAGCCTTCTCCTGTGGGACCGAGACGATCGCAGTTATCGTTATTACGTCGAAGTGTCTGTCAACAAGAAGAACTGGGAAATCGTTTGGGACAAACGGGAAGAAGATTGTCAGTCCTGGCAGCTCATTGTTTTCCCGATCAGGCCAGTCGTATTCATACGCATTATTGGGACAAATAATACAGCAAATGAAGTGAGTATCACTTTATTAAATTTATAACCAATAAAATCCATTTTATGTTCTTTTAGTGATCGTAAACTTATTATTTAAATGGTATGATATTTTAGGTATTCCATCTCGTCCATATTGAGTGTCCGTCAATGATGTGTACTAAAGAGACAATCAAGAAACAAAAATATACACATAGCCAGGAAAAAGAGGAGCCAAAATCATTTCAAGCCCGGGTATGTTTGAAATTTGTAAATGAATTAATAGCATTATCTTATCACACCAATCTTGTGTACTGTGGATGATCCTTCTTCCTTTTCTGAGCAATTTTTTTTTTTTTTTTTTTTTTAAATTAATCGATGTCTAGATGGCTAAGTAGGTTAGAGCAGCAGGGAACAATTCCAAAGATCATAGGTTCAAATCCCATCCGTTATGGCGGCGAACTTTCAAATTGTCGCCAAACCCCTACTGCTCGAATATCCCATCGTTCAATGCGATACAATTGGAAAAGGAAGACGCTCTGTGAGGAATGGTGGGGGGAGTCGGGTTTCAAGCAAGAGACTGAAAGGACGAGAGAACATGCCTGTAAGAGTCTGCGCAAACCAGAAAAAGAAGAAGTCTGTAAATTAGTTTCTTTATATCATCGTACGTACGAATTATAATATTTTCAATATTTTTACGAGCTCATAGTTTTGGCCAAAAGAGGATTAGTTTATATTTTTATTATGTTAGGGTAAATTAAATCAAATAAATTCCTCTATAAACCTATTTATTGAGCAATTCTTTCTATAATAAAAAAATTAAACAAATGAACAAATACTTTCCTAATTAGTAAATTCAAATATATTTTAATTAATTTTTAAAAAACAGGTAACCTCTATTTGAATACAAAATAAAATAATAAAAATATAAACTAATCCTAACCTCTATTTGAATACAAAATAAAATAATAAAAATATAAACTAATCCTCTTTTGCCAAAACTATGAGCTCGTAAAAATATTGAAAATATTATAATTCGTACGTACGATATAAAGAAACTAATTTACAGACTTCTTCTTTTTCTGGTTTGCGCAGACTTACAGGCATGTTATCTCGTCCTTTCTGTCTCTTGCTTGAAACCCGACTCCCCCCCACCATTCCTCACAGAGCGTCTTCCTTTTCCAATTGTCTCGCATTGAACGATGGGATATTCGAGCAGTAGGGGTTTGGCGACAATTTGAAAGTTCATCGCCATACTGTGACGTTTGCTTTTTATCAAATCTCATGTTAAAAAATTCGTAATTACAGAATGGAACTAAAACCGACATATTATTGATATTTAAACTAACTAATATAGGGGACATCGGTAGCCGCAGCAGTTTAGGCGTTGACATGGCCCTCATCACTGTAAGGTAAAGGTTCTGGGTTTGAATCCAGTGGCTCTGCATTTGAACCCAACATACTTACAAACGATCTGTCCTCCCTCCAAAAAAATAAAAAAATAAACCACCGGCACCTGAGGGTGTTCTTTATGGTTGAAATAACCTCATTTAAAAAAATAAAATTACAAACCATTCATTATTTATTAAAAAATTATGTACCATGGGCGTCTGAAAGCCTCCCAAAAAACAGGAGACAATGTCCCAACAGAAAGCTCAGTCCAAAAGGCATACAAATTGAAAACCAAGGAAAAACTAGAAACCAAAAACAAATTGCAATAATTCTTTCCAAAACACATTGGCACATACAAAACAATTTTATTAGAAAATTAAAAAAAAATAAATAAATAAACCTCAAAATGAAACAAAAGAAAAAAAGCTCACCGCTGCTAACAAAAGAATCAAAAAAGGATTTTTTGTATTGGACAATTTTGCACAAACTGATCGAGGTTTCAAAAAAAAAAACAAAAAAAAAAAAACAGGTCTGTTCTTCTCCTAGCTGGTCCAGAAGAATGCTAGAGTCGTTCCATTGTCATAAATACGCAATAACTATTTCCAATGAAAAAATATTTCAAAAAATTAATCTGTGTAGGATAGACGACAGTACAATTTTTCTGTCACCAGTCCTATAACCTGGGCAGTAGAAGTTTGTTCTCATTTTGTCACCTTGCCCTTCAGCTATTTTGCTGCAATTTACGCAAAGATTTTGTCTTTTTCATCCCCCCGACATTGAAGGTAGAAGAGTAGAGAAATAGCTAATAAGAGGAAGAAACTCTAGGTTCAGTCGGAAGTTGTTAAGCTTCTTCCTCTCCTTTTGGGAATAAGTATTAAACAAGAAGAAGCTACTCTTGAGTACTGTCTGGAAGAGGTGAAAGGGGGGCAAAGTTTTGTACCAGTTCAGTGACTTGCAATATGCTCCAAATAACAATTTTTACCTTCTTCATTTGACTGCTCTTCCTTGTAAGACTCCATTTTCAAAAATTAACAAAATGAATTTAAAAAATTTTTACAAAACCCTGAAAAACAGAAATATATTTTTTATATTATCATTATAATAACCTAATTTATTTAACAATTAAATTTCTAACAAATTAAATGAAGAGGACTCGGGTAGCTGAAGGAAACACCAAATTGTTCAACTTTCGGAGTTTTTTCTTTTCAAAACCTTGAATCAAACAATCTCACAAAATATTTTAGCATTTAACAGTTAATCCATCAACTCTGTATTCATATATAATGTAAAAATAATCAAATCTTAAGTTTAAAAAGCAAATAAGTTGAAGAAAAAAATATTTCAGCCAATTTTCTCAGGCATCAATAGAGGTAATATCAGAACAGTGCACAACATTTGAAAGCTGTTTCACACTGAATCTAAAAACTTTCAAAATTGGAATCCATAAAGGTTGGGAGAAATAATAGCCAATAGTAAACAGTGCGCCAAAAAAATGGCCTTATATTGAGACCGGCCACCCTGTATGTGTTAAACTTCTCATAGGGTCTGGCGTCAAATTTGCTGTTAAGCTCTTGAGCATCCCATCCTCCCCTTTACGCTCCTCCTCATCCCCCAATCATACCTGACTGACCGATTCTTTCAGGACGGTCTCCAACTACTATCCTGTTGAATCTCGAATCCTTGATCCATCCCAACAAATTCGTTCATATTTGTATATAATTCAATTAATTAAGGTTTTTAGTTTAAAAATGGCAAAAAGGAGGGAAAATTCAAAAGGTGGGGTTGAGATGGGAAGTTAGTGTCTGAGTGGATCGAAGTCACATTAGCTCAAGTGGTAGAGCAGCGGCGAATCTAGCCGAAGGTCGTGGGTTCAAATCCCGCTCGTGACGATGACTTTTTTTACAACTAAAATCCTTAATTAATTGAATGATATTAATTGGTCAAACAGACCACAACAACTAGTGAATTTGTAGATAATACTGCTATCCTTTCCTCCAATAAAGATCCCATCCTCTCACATTGCTTCATACAGGCTCACCTTGTCAACATTAAACCTTAGAAGTAATTAAGGTTTTTAGTTGAGATAAAAAAAGTCAATAGCACGTTCGGGATTCGAACCCACGATCTTCGGCTAGATACGCCGCTGCTCTACCACTTGAGCTATCCGTGACCTCAATCCACTCGGACACTAACTTCCCATCTCAACCCCACCTTTTGAATTTTCCCTCCTTTTTGCAATTTTTCAAATGTCGTGTAATCGGATTGGATTCTCGACGACAAATGTAATGGCCAAGGAGAGCTTTAGTGAAGTATACTTCATTTTAAATTATTAAATTCACTAATTTCGTGGTCCGCTTGACCAATTAATATATTACAGTTAATTAAGGTTTTAAGTTGAGATAAAAAAGTCAGTGTCACGAGCGGGATTCGAACCCACGACCTTCACCTGATACGCCGCTCCTTTACCGCTTGAGCTATCATGAATTCGATCCACTCGGACAATAACTTCCCATCTCAATCCCANATCCCGCTCGTGCCATTGACTTTTTTATCTCAACTAAAAACCTTAATTAATTGAAAGATATTAATTGGTCAAGCGGACCACGAAATTAGTGAATTAAACCTTACCTGAAAAAGTTGAAATGAAAATAATGTTGGGTGTTGGTGACCAAAATGGTAAAAAATAAATATTGACAAAAGCCACCATATAACCTCTATCCCTCCAACATGGAGTAATTGCCTTCACTACATCATACATCCCTTCCTGTACTATATTTGCTTGGGCCGTGTATCAACAAAAGATTAACATAAAAAGTAAGAACTGATGAGACAGTAATAAAACCCACTTAGACGTATGGCATCAAACTGTGGGGTTGAACCAAACATTAAGACTATAATCGCATTCTGATTTTTCAATCCAACATCCTCTTAAAAATAGTAAACACTCCCTTCTTCAATCACATAATCCACAATGACCTTAATATTCCTTTTGTGAAAAATGTCATAAAATCATGATACCCCAAATTTCACAAATCTCTTTTATTACACCCCAATCCCTAAGTTTTAAGCTTAATCCTGTTGCTGAACTCTAACTGCTAAACCCTAACAATCATCGTAAGANAATTAATATATTACAGTTAATTAAGGTTTTAAGTTGAGATAAAAAAGTCAGTGTCACGAGCGGGATTCGAACCCACGACCTTCACCTGATACGCCGCTCCTTTACCGCTTGAGCTATCATGAATTCGATCCACTCGGACAATAACTTCCCATCTCAATCCCATCTTTTTGAATTTTACATTTTATTACACCCCAATCCCTTAGTTTTAAGCTTAATCCTGTTGCTGAACTCTAACTGCTAAACCCTAACAATCATCGTAAGAAGTTAAAGCGTCAGTGGCCTCTCATCCTGTAGTTCAGTGAGACGGAAGTGCCAGATTGTAGTACCGTATTTTCATTTAAGTTTTTGTTTTGTTTTTATTTTGCAGGAAGATTCGCTGTTTGGTATGTCGAGACAGGTGGATAGCGTAGATGACTTTATAGGACTGAGACGAAGGACGCCAGAGGAACTAGAGAGGCTTTTCCAGGATTAACAATCCCAAAACAACACGAGTTTTTCGCTTCAATTTAAATTGAGGGGGGAAACGAACAATAAATGGCGTTAAAGTTTTATTGCAATTTTTTAAGTCCTTAAGGTTGTTGGGTTTTTAATTGCTTTTAACTTTACCAGTTTTATTTAATCAGGTTAAATCAGTGGAGGATAATAGATCAACAGTTTAAAACCTTCTAACATAGATTTTTAATTTGTTTCTATTGGTTAAGTGCAAATGACAATGAATATGCCTTAATCTAGTGGATATTGTTTTTGTTTTGTGTAATATATATCTCACCCATATATCAACTGTCATGGCTTTACTACTTTTATCTATTGTTAAAAATAATATGGATCTATTTAAAAATTGTTAATAACAGACCATAAAGTGTAACAATGAAACAAGTTATTTATGAATCGCTTCTAAAATTTATTACAGGAATTACAAACAGTATTAATTGTGGAATGAGAAGAATTGATAGTACAGTTTAAAATTTATAATTAAGTGATTAAGGTTAATTTGAATAATGTAATTTTAGAAGTTCATTTGTTAAACTGTCTTGGAAATCAGGATGTTGGAATTGCTGGAAAATTATAAAAATATAATAATTTTTTGTGATAATAATGTTTGTGCTTTCAATTTAAAATACAATCCTTCATTTTGCTTGGATTTTTGTAATTTTAAAATTTCTGTAAATTAAAAAAAAATATGTAAAAAATATTTATTCTTCTAGTTCTTGTTAAGAAGAATATTTTGAAAAAATATTATAAAACTTATGGTTATATCAAGATTTGTAAAGTCATGATCAGGCACACTGTACATTTTCATAAATCATAGTTCCTTTGAACATGGGTGATTTTGTTGTTGAATTTTTGTATATACTGAATATTTACTCAGATTAATTAATTATTTAATGTATTGCTAAAAAAGAAAAAACTTTTCTACTTTTGAAAACACTTTGTACCTTTCATCACCAAAGTATTAATACTTTTTATCTTATGTATCATCTGATGATGACCTATGTGTTTTAGTTTATGGTATTTTTTGTTTATAATATTACAACGAGGAAATCTCATATTTTGGGTAGTATTTCAGTGGTGATTTTTGTTTTTAATCTAGTGTAAATTTTATTTTTAATAAAAAGAAACTTATAATAAAAAAATTGATTTCTTTTTATTTTCCTGTTTTCTTGTTCGGGTAACAAGGAAAGTTCAATCAATAATCTTATTGGCTATGAACCTTTTTGTGGCATACCGAATAGCCTATGGTTCTGGTTTGTAAATATTCTCCCAAGGTACCACAAAAATTGTGATTATTTTTTATTTAAATCAAAAAAATTACAAAAGGTCGTAGAAAAATCATCTTTAAATCCTCGGCTCAATGGAAATGTTTTCTAGCATAGAAATTAACAGCAGAAGTGCTAGAGTCTAGTCCTACTATCATTCTAGGCCTAACAAGTCTTAGGTTCAGTAGTAATGCTTGTAATGATATGGCCTCAGGGTTAGGTGCAGTCTAAAAAGATCCTCAGGCCTTATTAAGGGCATAGAGAGCAGAAGGAAAAAAGGTTAATCATTAAGCTTAAGAATTTTTATCATACTCCAAAGTGTTTGTAAAGTCACCCATATGTATCCTTCAATTTTGCTCTCCCAGTAGTAGGAATCTCAGCCTTCAAAGGTCATCGCACTGACATTAATGATAGACTTCTGACTGGGCACTGCGTACTCTGGAGTCTGGAGACATCTACAATTCACAGTGTCATGTCGGACAGGCACCAATAGTCTGTGTAAAAGCAAGCAACTAATGCTTCACAAGGAACTTCAGGTGGACAATGTTCTGGTGATACCTAGCACCGTCATGACCTATTCCAGGACAGAGGCACATAAAAAATTTCTTTTGAGGACCATCTCAGAAACTGACGGCAGAACTACTGGGCCTAAGACTTGGTAGGTCTAGAATGGTAGTAGGACTACAGACTGGCAATTGCAGACTCCAGAGGCAAATATATTGTGTGCACAAGCTTGTGCAGATATTGCCAGGAACAAAAAACCCAGCAGAACATGTCCTCTCTTGGTGCGATGGCCTTCGAAGGCTGAGGTTCCTACTACTGGGAAAGAAAAAGCCATACATGAAGGATACACATGGATGACCATCTTTGGCATCTGGTAAAAATCCTTAAGCCTAATGAAGAACCTCTAGAAATTGTCTCCCTGCGATCTCTATGCCCTTAATAGGGCCTGAGGACCTTTTAGACCGCATCTAACCTTGGGGCTACATTGGTCTATCAATGTTTATAGTGAAGGGCTTCCACCTCTGCAAGAAGTTTAGGCTTCCCACCCCACACCTGAACAATCAACTGATCTGCACTCATACTTTGTGTCAGCTGTCTAGTATGATACAATTGCAAGCGACACATTGGACAGATTAGAGGATCCAGCCTATTGGTTGGTATTACCGACAGCACAGCCTACCACAACAAAGGCATACTGTCTATCATTGGCAGTGCAAGGAGTAAGGTTCCTTAGATGGTTTAGTGACCGGGGTTTTTTGTTATCCTCAGAAAGACCAGTGTTAGGAGTTAATGGAAGAAGCCTGTGGACTGAAGTCGATGAACCCGATGTTCATGTAGCAGGAGTTGGTAGACTCAATAGCAAGCAAAGAGACTTGTGCACCACACTGCCACATCGGCTGTTGAAAAATGATGCTGCGAGCTACCCTAGCAAACCCTTGTTGTGGTAGCTAGTGCTGACAGCCTACTCCAATAGTGAGAGTTAAGACCTCGTTGGCAAGTCTGAAATAAGCTATACTTATAGCATAGAGCTGTCATTGGCATCTTCATGGAAGGTGAGACCATTTTTGAAGCAGTGGTGACACCTGCTGGATAATTTGGTGATTGCAGATGGTGACCATAGTGGAATTTTTCAATTTTCTTGGTGTTCCCCTCTCCACCAAGGTAACTGGACTGCAAAACACAGAGATTTCTCTCCAAAATCTGAGCCTAGGTCCAGAAGCAATTGCCCTCTAGGAACAGGAACCAGAGTTGCCACTACAAAACCATCTATAGTACAAGAACCAATTAGTTTTAAGCAGAGATAATAGTGCTATGATTCTAGCAATATTTTACCTGAGTTACCTCAGCTCAAGGAGGATATGTGAAAATGTCTGATATGCAAGGCTCCATTGCTCGAAACGAGTGTATGAAAGTGCAATCAAAAAGTACAATATAGTAAAGTATATAACCCAATGTCCCCCCCATGGTCCCCTTCGTGTGAGGGTCACAATTCCTCTGGGTGGATGAAAGAGGCAGGAAGTCTTTGTTCAGAGCAACCGATAGCTACGACTACCCCCGAGAGTTCACCTTTTCAGGTTGCCTTCAGATCATAGGTCGGTCCTGTTTACCCACAAGTATCTCCACATTTGTGAATTCAGGGAAGAAGAGACCATCTCTTTGGGTTATGCCATATCTCTAACTCCACCTGCCCAAGTCCTGGAAGGGGCTTGAACAGTGCTCACCATGGGAAGGCAAGATGTAGCACAAGAACAAGATAGGTTCCTCACTCAACGACCATGTTTACCATTATTGGGACGTAGTGAGCAGTCATTCCTGTGACAGTCTGCTTTGTGATATGCCTGTGTGAGCATACTTAGAGCAAGTGCATTCAGACATATGTTCCCATCTTTACTGGGTTTAATCAGACTGAGGATCTTTATCACCCAAACTCACATCGGGGGGGAGGGGGGGCTCAGACCCCAGGGTCATCCTAAGAAGGCATCAGGAAGATTTTACATGCATGGATTTGTCACACCCTTTGACAAACGCAACGCTGGCCAGGCTCAGAAGTGTATCAAAGAAGCATCCATACGGACATGTGCCTTTAAAAAGGCAGTTTTGTAGCTTCCATCATAAGGCTTTCAGCCACCAACGGAGAGATAGAGAAGGTTCTGGATGATAGTACCCTCCAGCTAAGGGTTCTTAAACCACCACGAGTCCAACCTCGTTTGGGGGCTTCTTGGAGTCACCTACTCCTCTGGTTCATTTTACTTTTAAGGCGAGACTGATCACCCAGACGTTTTGAGGAACTCCCTACTGTTTACATCCATTGACTGAAGGGTGCGGCTTCAGTAATCCAGGAAGCCTCTGCCAAAGAGGAAATCTCACATCAATCAAATTGATAAAAAGAAAATGTGTTACCAATAGGTTTTATTTATCATATGAAATTTCGTCTGTTTTGAAATTTAATTAAAAAATATGTATTTATTAAAATAATTAATATTAACACGGTTTCTCGTTGCTAAAGTAACACAACATTTACACAGTCATTATTAAAACATGAGGAAGGCCAAGTTACACATCACCGTGGTTACGGCAAAATCACTTTTTCGACCTTTATTTCAAATTTCACACACACAAATTTCACGTATTTTTAACTACAGAATACAGGCGTTACAGAGATACCAATTTTTAAGCAAGATGTCGGTGAAGTGCATGTACAGTTTGCTGGACAAAATGCTTTTGTCTTTGTCCTGCAGCAATCTGACTGGTCATGTAAACCAGGTAATAGTTTTCCGTATAATTTACACGTTATTGTTTTTCTAGTCTATCCGGGGGGGGGAGTGAAAGTGGATAAATATTTATCTAATGTTTTTTAAGCTAAATTTTCTCTTTTATATAATGTGTTGTATATTTCTAAATACTTAATTTTTTTAATGAAAAAACAATAAACAGTTAACCACTTTCCAAAATATTTAAAGTTTAGACTTTTACAAGATTTATCTATATTGCGTTTTATTTTCGAATATTATCAAGCGTATTTCAAATCATGTCTTTCTTTATTTTTCTTTCTATTTAATTTTAGAAACTAGCAATAATCGCATCAACGAGAACTGTTCTGCTTGACAATGATTAAGTATTGTTTCCTTTGCGTGTATATTAAGATTGAATGGTGGGTCTAGCAATGTGTTATTCAGGCTGAAATGACCGTACCGTCGATAGCCCCTGGAGCCTAACTTCGGCTGCAGGAAAAACAAGACAGGGGTCTCACCCCTAACGTTCAAAACTTGAAGCGGAAATTCATAAGAGATTTAATCTTATACTGATGATAGAAATGCCTCATGTCCGGGTGTTTTCCTCCTGTTGGGAAAGATCTAATTCATACACGTACTGAAAATGATGAAAGTACGATACGATAAATCGCCAATACGGCGCTACTCTCTACTAAACCTGTAAGACCGATCGGTTAAACGGGTTTTTAACCTATTCAGCGCCTTCAAACTAATCCTCGTTACTGATGTCTAGCACTTCAAAGAATCCGGGAAGCCCCTCCCCCGCGGAAAGCGAATTGGGGCCAAAGAGAAACAACTAAAGTTGGTTCAAACAGATACATATCGGCAAACGATGTTCAAAATAAGCCGCAACAGAATTGCCTACTAATTCGAGTACAGTGCAAATACAGAATCTAGTAGTCTGCAAAGGTGTGTCTTTGTGTTATCCTGAATAAAATAATTTATTTATTACAAAGTCCATAACACAAAATAACAGGCTATTTCATTACATATCTCTCTCTCACTCTCNCTCTCTCTCTCTCTCACTCTCTCTTTTATCTATTTTATTTATCTGTCTATCTGAAGATTTGTCTATCTAGCTATCTATCACTATATTTCTTATTCATTGCTAGCATTTCTTTTGTCCTCTTATCAACTCAATCCACTCTATCCTAGTTCAAGCATATTCCTTTGTTCACTTATATTACTCTCTCTCTCTCTCTCTCTCTCTCTCTCTCTCTCTCTCTCTCTCTCTCTCTCTCTCTCTCTCTCTCTCTCTCTCTCTCTCACTCTCACTTTATCAATTTTTCTACCTATCTGACGATTTGAAAGTTTAGCTATCTATCATTACATCTTTCATTCATTGTTAACCCTTCTTAGTGTCTCTTCTGTCCTCTATCCTAGTTAAAGTAAATTTCCTTTTCATTTACATTTCTTTCTTTCTCTCTTTCTACCTATCTATCCACCTTTCTATCTGTCTATTTATTTACCTTTCTGACAATTTATCTATCTATCTGCCTATATTTCTCTTATTCATTCTTAGTACGACTTATAGTATCTTTTGTCCTCTTCCCAACTCTATCCTATTTAAAGCCTATTCTCACATTCATTTTTCATCTCTCTCTTTCCCCTCTCCCACCCTTTCTTTCATCCTCCTCCCTACCTACCCCATTTTCCCACCCCGCTCTCACACTCTCTCTCTCTTCTCTTCTCTTCTCTCTGTTTCTTTCTCTCACACTCTTTCTTTTATATATTTTATTTATCTGCCTATTTAAAGATTTGTCTATCTAGCTATCTATCACTATATTTTTCATTCATTGTTAGCATTTCTTATTGTCTTTTTGTCCCCTTATCATCTCAATCCACTCTATCCTAGTTCAAGCATACAGTACTCTCTCTCTCTCTCTCTCTCTCTCTCTCGCTCTCTCTCTATCTCTCTCTCTCTCTCTCTCTCTTTCCTCTTCTCTCGTTTCTCTCTCTTTCTCTCCCTCTTCCCTCGTTTCTCTCTCTCTCTCTCACACACACACACACTATCTCTCTCTCCTCTCTCTCTTATCTGTTTTCCTCACATAACACACATCACCCATTTATCATGTTCTTAATTTCCATTTTTCAACTGAGGTTTATTCTATTCCACTCTAGTCTACTCTGTTCAGCTTTATAACTTATTTTCTTCTTGATTATCATGTTCTTTAACTGGTAGAATATATATATATTTTTTTGATTCTTTTAAAATATACATTTGTCATATACATTTTCTTTCTGCATTTCCCTATGTTTACAGTCTTGATTTATTTTTCCAATTACCTTCTTAATTAAGTGAATTTTTCTTCTCTCTGACTACTTCTTTCTCTATTGTAATACCTCTTTGATTACCTTCTCACTACTCTTATCTTTCTAACAACAATGTTCAAATGTATTCATAAAACATTACAGGTCTTTGAGTTTTGTTTGATAATAGGTTTCTCCTATATTACAGTATAAAATCGATACTTTCTGACTGTATATATGCACTCTATGTTTCTTATCTTTACTAGGATTCTCCTGAATTCCTCTGAATCTGAACCAAAGAATACTGTACTTTGTTCTGTTGTGAATTAAAAACGGAATATTTTTAACTGTAGCAGGGAGAGGCTTCACCTCCATCTCATTATGTATAACAATAATCGTAATAATGAGAAGTTTTTTTTTCCGTATCTTTCCTTAAAACATAATGAAGAATTTGTATTTTAACTGTGAAAACATATTTAGAACTAAGCACTTCCCCATGCAGTGTCAACTTTTTTACATTAAAATGATCCAAAAGTCTCTTATAATTTTAAGCTCCCTCTCATCTTATCATCCTGTTAGTTTGTTATCTATTCCTTGTAAATTCTTCAAAAAAATTAATTTACAAAAGAATCTCTGTTGCTAATGAGTGCTATAGAGCTAAAATGTAAAACTATTTATTTTTAAAATACTTACATAATATGACATGTTTATATTGTTAATGTTTGTTGTTTTTATTTTTGTTTTTCAGAATGCAAAAGGTATGAAAGGAATAAGTTACAACAATATAAAAGCAGATGATGTCTACCCAGGAAATCGGAAGCATGCTAGCCGATACAAGCCATACAGAACGACAATTTCAAGGCGTTATCGAAAGATGGCTCGACAGCCGCATGATTCAGAAAACCTCGATTTAATGAAGAAGGACATTAATCAGTTGAAATCGTACAAACACACTGATAAAACCAACCCCCTTTACCGTTCGCTTTACGCTTACAAGAAATCCTATTATAAGTTTAAATGTATCGACAAAAAAATTCGCAAATCATTTCATAACTTTAGCGACTTTGAAATGAACCAATTGTCAAGGAAGGTGGCCAGTTTCAGATTGAGTAAGACAAGTAAGGATAAAATAATGTGGCCTCCACTCTACAAATACAAAGGGAACATCGAAAAAAGACCAAAGCCACAGACTCCCCATCCGCAAGGAAGCAAAAGGTTGATTCTGAAGCTCACGACCAAATCGTATCCTCACGAAATACTCCAACCACTTTATCCTAGTAAAGGGCATGCCGATACAGTTATTCCTAACCAAGTTACTGTTAAAGTAGCAGAATTGAGGAAAGATGTGAAAGGAAAAGAAGAAACGAACAAAGATAAAAATGCTGTAGAAAAAAAAGATGAAGAAAGCAAAAAAGTGTCTAAAGAGGAAGTTGAAAATTTGAAAATGAAAATAAAATTGCACAAACAGTCTAATATTTACTTAGACAGCATCAACCGTCTATGCTACAAATTGGAAAATATGACAGATAAAAAGCCAGAATCTATTGTACACTATTTGAAATCCTCTTTAAAAAAAGAACTGGATGAACTGAAAGCTGTAGCACCAAATAAATACAGGGAATTGATGAAAGAAAATAAATTTCATCAACTTAAGCTTGATATGCATATTACTAGTGAGAGACTAAGAGAAATCACTAAAGATAGCAGTCGTTTGATGAGTGTAAAAACAGAAAGTCATAAAGTGAAAAACAAACAAAATGTAATTTCAAAAGACAAAGACAAAGATGCAAAAATTGCCCGAGAATCTAGAAATGAAGAACTCAGTGAAATTCCAGCATCTCCTGCAGAGTTACTGCAAAGTTCTAATCCTGCCCAGTCTATATTTTTAACAGCAAAAACTACCAATAAAACAACAGCAAGAGCTTTCTCGACACACCATTTCTTTGACGATGTAGACACTTCATTATCTCTGAAAATAGAAGAAAAGCCATTAGATATAGCCTTATCACGCGAAAAAGAAGGAAAATATGCAAGCTATATAAACTCTAACCTCAACAACAAAAAAGTGTTAAAGTACATGATGGAAAAACACAAAGGGTACTTAGAATCAAAGAGCAAGAAGGACAGGCTAAAGTCAGAGAAATTCAAGCTGGATAGTAAAGATTTTAACATGACAAAAAATTGCTCTGAACACAAATTTCTTTCGGTGTCAGCGGGTAGGGAGAAAATGAATATTAAATTAAAGGAATTTCAAACCAGATTAAAATCTTACCAAAGTGACAAAACAAGTCAGCCAATTTTTGAAGCAAAAAATAACATGCTTCAGACAACAGAACAAATGATAACACCAGGTACTTTTCTCCTTTTCTCTTTAATGGTATTCTTTTCGATAAGTATTACAATTAAACAAAAATAAATTAAAAAGAAATTTATCATTCATTACGAAACTACTTTCTATGTTTTTGTTTTATATTCATAATATAAATTTTAAATATACTAATTTCCTACTAAATTTTATCAGCTTCTATTAAATATATAAATACTCAATTAATTATACACAATTTTTTTCGAAATGAAAAATTTGTATCACAGACGGGATATGAACCCACGACTTTCAGCTCAATACGCCACTGCTCTACCACTTGAGCTACCGTGACTTCATGAGAAGTTTGTGGCATGGGCGATCGAAGTCATGGTAGCTCAAGAGGTAGAGAAGCGTCATATTGAGCCGAAAGTCGTGGGTTCGAATCCCGCCTGTGACACAAATTTTTCATTTCGAAAAAATTTGTGTATAATTAGTTGAGTATTTATATATTTAATAGAGGCTGATAAAATTTAGTATTATACTAGAATCACACCTGTGAATCGTACACAGTCCCGCTAATCTAATACAATCGTTAATAAAAAAGAATTTCTATATGAAGCCGCGATTTGCTTACAATTAGAAAAAAATCGGGTAGTCAAAATGAGAAGTTTGTGGCATGGGCGATCGAAGTCACGGTAGCTCAAGTGGTAGAGCAGCGGCGTATTGAGCCGAAAGTCGTGGGTTCAAATCCCGCCTGTGACACAAATTTTTCATTTAAAAAAAAAATTGTGTGTAATTAATTGAGTATACTAATTTCCATTGTTTTAACTTTCAGTTGCCCAACCTGAAGAACTAGGTAATACTGAAATCGAGCATTTAAAAACAGAAACACTGAGCATCCCTGTGGGACTATTTAATAGCCAAGGAATGTCGTTACTTACTACAAAAAGATTTTATTCGACTTCACCGAAAGTAAACAATAGCACTTTGAAAAAAATTGCTGAGAATAAGATGGCTTACCAACCCCTCTACTTTTACAAGAAGGATATTACGAATGGCGATGACCCATCCAAAACCAGTCCTTTCAACGAACGGGCAGTAGTAAATCCGCCTTCCACGGTTGACAGAGTCAATACAAGAATTAAAGTTAATTTGGATAACTTGGTAGGTACCGGCCAAATAAAAATCAATTTGGAAAAAATGGACGACTTAAAGTTGGGTAGGACGACCATACCTACGACCAGCTCTCAATATTTACAAACAGTCACTTTTCCTAGTAAAAATGAACCATTGTCTAAACTAAAAAAGAACGTACTGCAGCTGAAAAAACTGATTCATGAGAAGTTGGGAAAAGAGTATGTAGGTACAAACAAGATAGCGTATGATGTGCCTTATGCAATCACTGCTCCGAAGAAAAGTGATTTGAAGTCACTCTCTTCTCCAACCTGCACAAACAGAAGAACAGAAATCAATCCGATTGCTGAGATGACATCTCCATGTATTTGTGATAATAAAAACATAGAAGATAATACTATAAACAAGTTGGAGTTGCCGTTTAAACAAGAATCAGTATTGGATATGAGAGAAATGAGCTTAGAAGAAAAAAATGCAAGTGATAAGTTAAACGCTAAACCTATTTCAGATAATGAAAAATCACATGATTCGTGGAAAATGCAAATTCGGGAGACTGTTTTTAATAATAGTCAAGTCGACAATAGCATGATCAATCAGCGAAGTGGGATTCTTTTGAATCACCCAGATGTGTCGTTTCCGATGAAAGAAACAGGCTTCTTTTCTGGTGGTCTAAAACTACCACCTCCTTGTGAATTTGATGGAACTAATACAGCAAATGTCAAACAGGACAGTATAGAAGCAAAAGAGTGTGGTTCTGTTATGCCACAAAAGAATGAGAATAATCCCAGCCGATTGCCGAAAGAATCTCACGAGCAGTTATTAAAATCAAACACTTCACCTGATGCTAAAACAACAACCGTAAGTAAAGCCACCGAGAAACCCGTTAATACAAAATTGTTACAAGAAATGAGAGCTGAAGTTCAAAAGGCATATGAAAAATCACTTCAAGATATTACATCCGAAGTACTTAAAGGTAGTGAAAGTCAAAGTACAAATAGTAAAGACCCAAAACCCTACTTAGAAAGTAAAACTGGAGTGTCAAGTTCTGATAGAAGTAGATGTTCTCAAAAAATAAAACGTACAAATAATAATTTGAGAAAAATTAAGTCAATGGAAGGAGTTCACAATTTGTTCGAAGAATTGTATGATACAAGTAGAAAAGAGGTTGCACAATTGACTTCCCGATCACTCGACAGGCTTGGGCATAAACAATATCTAAGTAAATTTGACAGCTTGATGAGCAGGATAGCTGATAAAATTTACAACAGAGATTCATCAAAAAATCATAAATATGTTTCCAAAGATGATGGAAAGAAAAACATGTCAGGCATATCATCTAAAATAAATTCGTCATTCCCTCCCTGGATGAAAAGCATTTTTGAAAAAAAGAAGTATAGCTTTAATAATTCAAATGTTATTGACTGTAGAGATAAATCAAACATCAAATTGGAAATTTCAGGCATTTCAGGAAATGTGGCTTTAAATTTAACAAGGGATAGCAAAAATGGCGCTTTGCAAGCTACACTCTCATTACCGAACTGTGTCGTTGCACAGAATTCCAACAAGGAAATAGCTTGGTTAGAAAAACATCATAAAGCAAAACATGAATTATTTAATAAACAAAACCCAAAGTTTAGTTCCCTTACTTTTACAAAAAAAGAAAATTTATCAGATGCAAAAGAAAAAGATTCTTCAATATTAGCTTGCCAGAAAAAATCAGCGGCTTCACCCAATGAAGAAAATCCAACTTTAAAATCCAGCGAAACAGACTCAACAAAAAATTGTACAAGTGATGCAAATCTCCATTCAGATCAACTGGCTAAAAAAGAGGAAGCAGCTCCAAAAAAAGAAGATACTTCAATTAAGAGTAGTGAGAAATGCACAGATATTCCCCAGCCCATAAAAGCACTCAAAAGTGAAGAAAATGTAAAAGTTGAAAGTTGTGACAAACCAGTTATTTCAAAAAGTGAAGAAACACTTATGTCAGCCCCTCCAAACAATAAGTTAGAAAAGAACGAAAATGTTGAAAAACCAAAAGACACTTGTCCAAGCAAGACCGAAGTAACACCTCAATTGTCAAAGAGTGAAGTCAAATTAGAAAATGTCCCCAAGGTTAGCAGACCCCCTGAACCATCAGATAAAATCTGTCCTAAAGCTAGTTCAACAGAAATTACTCAAGAAGTTAAAGCTGAATTGCAACAGGCTAAATGTTCAACGGATGAAAAACCAAATGAGCCAAAGAAAAAAGAAGAGTATTATTCTCGTCGAGAATCTAGTAGGCCATCTTCTCCATTAAGTTCAAAAACAGACATCCAAGAGTGCCTTCCAAGAACATCTATAGAAAAATCAACACCAATGATGAGTCTGTGTACAGTGAGACCAAGGATTAAACCAATAAATCCTGGTAAAAGAAAGACACGCCCGATTCCTTCAGAAGACAAAAGTGAAACTTGCAATAATGATATGTATATGCCACCAAATATTAAGAATTTTAGTAAAACAGAAGAATGTAAAACAAGCTCAAAGAAGAAAGCTTTTAACGCAGCGCAAATCAAAGCAAGTGATATTCCAAATAAAATGTTTCACATACAGCAGCCAATGTTGAAGTGTTTCATAGTCCCTGAAGGGAATTTATGTCCATTAACTCCCGAGAAAAGTAGCTCCTGCAGTTCCTTGCCATCAGGATGTAAGACTAATATGAAAAACCCTGCTGATAAAAAAATAAACAATCGAAAGAATTGCTTGTCTATGGCCAAGAGAGAAAGTGAAAAAGAAGCTTCGATTCAAAGAAATGTAATCTATCCCAGATCACGGTCAAAAAGTCCAGAGAAGCTGTTAAAGTATGAATCAGCAGAATGTAAAGAAGACAAGGTGAGGCTAGATGAGCATGAATTTGAAAACGACTTTGTCCCTGATATTCCAAATGTGACATCGGCCAAATCACAAGTGACCTTATTTGATACTAAAAGCATTTCAGTCACAGTGCCTGAAACAGATGATTTCACTAAAAAACTAAAACTACCGTGCCTGTCTGCAGAATATGAGAAAACATGGTACACTGAAGCAGGTCTAAACAACACTAGGCCGACTTCAAACAATTATTATTATAAAATTTCAGACATGTTCTTTCCCAAAATGTAAAATTTTGTACTTGTAGTCTAATAAAACTTGAACAAGAAACCTTTTTTTTTCGTATATGTGGTGATTTTTTTCTTATTTCTTCATACTTTTATTTTATTTTTATTTTTTTTATATTTTAATTTTAGCTCAAAAAACTTTATAATTAAGAGTAAACTCACATCTGCTAATAAAGTAAAAATTTTGATAATTTAACACATGTCAATCTAAATCTGATGTGGTATCCAAATTTCAAGTAAGAGAATTTTTCGGAAAATTTTGATTTAAATTTAACAAGTAGATGAAATGCACTTTTCTCAAAGTAGAGGGCTCGTAAAATTCATTCATAAAGTGATATCCCGACAGCTGCTTAGCCCCGACCACTGCCAGCATAATGTAGTGAGTGTGAGTGGTTAATTTAAGAAATGCTAAAGAACAACTTGTGTATATCAACGTAAAAGCCATAATGGGCATAAACTATTGGTGTTTTATATTAAATTCTTTAAGTTTTTTAAACTAAAATACATTACTGCTAACTTAAACAAGTCTATCCTAAAAGTTTATTGTCCTAAACACAGTTTAAACATTAATATATAACATCCAATTCTGGCCCAGGATTTTGAGGGTCACAATCACGGGGGAACACTCTTGGCCTCATTCTGTTTACCATTTTGAATGCTGACTTTTTCTAAACTCAATCCTACCCAAACAACCTCCAAGCACACTGAGTTTATCAATGATTGATGCAAAAAGATGAGGACAAATCTGAATGAGAAAAAATGTAACCAGTGTACATTTACCTAGAAAAACAGTCTTGCTCTTCACTGGACAAACAGCATTGACTTCCATATGTCAGAAACTTAGGAATTGATGTGGAATCCACATGCAAAACTTAAGAGCAGCTTAACAGAAGACTTGGACAACTGCAAAACCTTTAGGTTCGAAATTTGTTCTGACCGTTAAAACTCAACTACTCTATACAAGACATTACCGCAACCGATTTGGACACATGGAGTGAAACTGATGATCCACAACCTTGCGTACTGTGCTATTGGTCTATTATGTCTATTAGCTATTGTCCAGAGATTCTTCATTTTGCTTAAGGCTTTTTATCAGATCCCAAAGCTTGTTAAAAGCTCCCAGGTGTATCTTTATGCCTTGGCTTTTCTCTTCCAGGAGTAGGAATCTCCATCTGTGTCCTTCACACCAACAGAGGTTTGGTTGAGAAGTTCTACTGTTTCTTCTTCTTTGTTGGTAATCCATAAAGGCTACTTTCTGCTTCTCGAAGCCTATACATATTCCTCCAGAATCTGTGGTGTCCAGTGAGCAGTTCTGCCATCATTCTAATTTTAACATGTCCTAGGTTGGATATGAATGGAATACATTCCCATGAAACCAAGGACATATTTACTTTGTCACTAACCTAATTATACGTAATAATCTCGACACTACTTTGGTCAATGAATTCATTCAATCTAGTTTCTGAAAGTTCTATATCAGATCCATTTTAGCCCTGGTGCTCAAGCTCTCTCCTATACTTTCCCATCTTCAAAACCCATCACATTGCCTTAAATAATGACATCCTCACCCCGAAATCCTAATATTTAACATTTTAAACGTAAATTTAGATGGATACAATATTTTATAAAATAGTTACGAGATACTTTTATAAAGGTATAGTTCATATAAACAACAAAAATGTTTATTTTATTATGTCAAAATTATTTTGAGAATCTCGACATATAGGTTATTCTAAAAATTTATTTTAATATTTTTTTTTTACTGGCATAATTACAAATGATGAAGCGAGACTTCCCCATACACAGGTGACATTCAAAAACAAAGCTCCTTAATTATCTTTTCAAAAAAGTGAATGCCTCCTTCCACACCTTTAATAATTCAGTATTTCGGGTGTGGTAATACAAACAATGCCATAATGAATGTGTTAAGTAACAAACATCAGTTTGTTTCACTTTGCAAAAGGTAGTGTTTACGCCAAAGTAACTAGCATAAATATTTTGTTTCCGTTTAAATGCTGACCCATTCCCTTGCGCTCTAATCCCTAAAACGGGCCGATAAGGGACTGTGTCTGCAACTGGCTCCCGTCGTGACTTGCTCTCATGCGTCCGAGAGAAACTTTTTTTTTAGTTTTAGCATTCCTTACTTCAAGGCTAGAAGGTTATCTTCAGTTTAGTTTTCTTTTAATTTCAAATCACGGGAGGTTAATTAGAAAAGGTTCAGATGGAACCTAGCAGGTATTGTAATAATTTAAGTCATCATATTATCCAGGGCCTTGGTTATGTTGTGGGTTTAGGTGCTGCATTGCTGGGAAAAGAAGACCATCATCCGGCCCGGAGGACCAATAATTATGTAGGCGCTGTTAAATAGGGCGCGCGCTGGTAGTCGTGAAACCAATAACAAAATAATAAAATAAAATACAATTAAATAAAAAAAACCCAATACCTGAGGTGATGGGTGTGTAGTCCTCGCCAGTCTTCTTTTCGGTACCCAGCAATGCAGCACCTAAACTATAAACATAGCCTAAACATAACCAAGTCCCAGGATAATATGATGGCTTAGATTACTACAATACCAGCTAGGTTCCGTCCGAACCTTTTCTATCAGCGGCTGGCTGATATCACTCCCATGATTTGAAATTAAAAGAAAACTAAACTGAAAATAACTTTCTAACCTTGAAGTAAGGAATGCTAAAACTAAAAAGAAAAATGTTTGCACGGAAGCAAGACGTTAGTTTCTCTCGGACGCATGAGAGCAAGTCACAACGGGAGCCAGTTGCGGACGCAGTCCCTTATCGGCTCGTTTTAGGGATTAGGGCGCAAGAGAATGGGTCAGCGTTTAAACGGAAACAAAATATTTACGCTAATTACTTTGGCGTAAACAGGTAGCTTATATTTCTAATCTTATATTTTCTGTGAGGTGAATGTCAGGTAAACAGTATTTATACTGTGTCTGTACAGTGATATAAAAGTAACAAAAATCGAACTTAGTTGCATATTTGTTACCTATTACACAATCAAATGAAGTAAACAAAATATTATTTCATGTATATAGTTAATAATAGTAAATGTAACTTTTTTTCTTCAAAATATAGCTTTGAAAATATCTGCAAGAATAAAATAAAGTCTTTGCTAAAAATACAATATTTTATGGCTGATGTGATTATGTTTGTTTATTTTTTAACATTTTCAGTTTTAATATATACAACAAGTATTCAAAAGAAAATGTGCATTTCATTTTTAAGTTCATTAGTTCTATCGTTATTTCAGGTAGGTGCTTATGGAACCATATATAATGATGGAGAAGAAAAAAATCAGAAAACGTACACTGGCGACCCAAAAAAATACTTGTACCAGATTCCACCATGGCTCCAGAAAAAGGCTATAAATAATAAAGATCAAAACAAAAGGGAAAACACCTTTCCAAAAAAACATGAATATCACAATGAAAATGAAATACTGGTGAAAGAAAACAAATGTAAGACCGTTTACAAGATGAAAAGGAGGATCTCACCGATACCAACAAAGCATAATTCGATTCAAGTTAAGCTTGAAAAGAAAAATGAAAAAGACGTTGATAGAGCAAAACCAGTTCCGCACATAACGGCTTCATCTATCGCACTTGAATCTCCTATCAAACTTTTGCATTCTAAAAATTTACAATTTACATCTAAAAAAGATATTGACCCAACTCCCATGGCCTCAGAGCCTATACACATTACAGACCCATTTTTGACAATTTCAAAAAAGCCAAGTACAAAAAAGAAACTATATTCAAAATTGCAGGAAAATTCGATGAAAAAGAAAAAGGATCACAACCTTAGAATGGCGCAACAAATGGAAGAGTTTAAAGCGAGGCATGAGGATAACGATAAAGTAAAGAAGAAAGTAGTAATACCTAAAAATATTGAAAGTTTGAATGCCAAAAGTACTGAAGAAAAGAAGAAATTGTGGAAAGATCTTATGGATCAACTAGACATACCGGAAGCACAAAAAGGTAGAGGGGTAACAAAATTCAAATCTTCATTTCAAAGAAACAAGCTTATTGTCGAATTTCCGAACAAGCCGATAAAATTATCATCTAAAGAAATGCTCTACTCAAAAATTGGTGATAAGAAAAAAACAAAAAAATCTAAAGACATTGTTGAAAAAAATAAGACAGTAGGAAGTTCATATGTTAATCCAAGAGAACTTGATGTCGACAGTATACCCCCCAAGAATGATCCAGACATTTCCATGACTGCATCTATGTCGATTAAAGCTTTAAAAGAGAAAAAAGCTCAATCTTTTAATGAATCAGTTATGATCTTGAGAAAAGAAGGCGAACGACTTAGAAAAGAATATGAAAAGAATAAGCAAAAGAATAAAGTTCTTCAAATTGCAAAACCAACAGGAAAGGCTAAAGGAGTACCAAAGATTGAAAATAAAAAAGTCAGACCTCAATTGGTTGAAGCCCAACTTTTGAATTATTACAAAAGGAACAGTTTTGGAATGCCGGAAGCACACGGTAGTGAAGAAAAGACTAAAGTTGACACAAACATAAAAAGGGAAAAGTTCATCCCGTCGGGGACAAAATCCAAAAGGCAGAGTTCGAAGGATAATATAAATTTGAATGTCAAATCAAATGAAAGTAACAGGCCAAAGACATCAATTACCACCACCATCCAAGCTAACACTAAATTAAAGCCTTCAGATGAAACGACTTCAAATATTGCTAAACTTACTCGCCCAATGTCATCTTTGCCTCAACTTACTGCCAAAAATCTTGCAAAAGAACATGCAAAATATAAAATATTATCTAATTCAATAAACCACATTCCAGCTCGTTTGATTTTGCCCAAACACCCCGGACGAACTGTATTTGACAACACTTTTGCTAAAGTCAGCACTTCTTCTCAAGCAAATACAAATGAAGGTCCAAATGTGAATATAGAAGATTCTTTCGTAGCGCAGCCACTTTTGGAAGGGAATCATAAAATCGGCAATATTAAACTTAGTAAGAATGAAAAAAATGATAATGTTGTTAAAATTAACGAGCCCAAAGAAAATGAACAAGAGGCCAACTTTGGACAAAGTTTTCCAGTATTGGAAAAAGTCGAACTGAAAACTGAAAGTGAGCCAAAAGTTGATACAATCTCATCAGAAATGATGTTGAGTACAAGGAATGATGCATCCACTAAAGAAGAAGTAAATGAAAATCAAAAAAGCTCTTTACCGTCTGTGTCTAAGAATGATTTTAGTCGACTTCCAAAGGAAATTAAAGATGCTCTTACTCGACTCAATAGTCAAACCCTTCAAACGTTCACCCCTCTGCAACAGAAGCACCAAGACTTGGAATTAAATTTGCGCAAGGCACTTATTAACTACCAAATTAATAATGTAAAACTTCCTGCTCCTCAAGGAACATTGAACTCGCAAAGCTCAATTACTATTCAATCTGCCGAGAAAAAATTAGATGAAGAAAAGAGGAATTTAGAAACACCTGAGGAGCCAGTTGTTTCTAAAAAGATTTTAGTTCCTAATAATAAAGAGGATATAGAAATAAAAAACAATGTCAAACTGAGCTCTAGTCCTCAAGTAAAAAGACCGAAAACAACTCCTGTTCAAAAGGTAGAAAATAAAAAACAATTGCAAGTGATAGATGATACCAAAGTTTTACAGGATAGCATAGTTAAGGCAGTCAATACAGTGCAGAAATTAGAAAAACAATCAAGTGGTCTTCATAACATTATAAGCAAGAAAGCAAAGGACTTATTTTCAAAGTACAAATGCTACTTAGACACAGCAATAAGGTCATGGGATATTAACAGTAAGATTAAAGAAGTGAAGGAAAAAAATTCAATAATTCTCCTTGGGGGTGGGAATGTCCTCAACAAAATCCATTATCAATCGAAGAAAAGTCCTCGCACTAGTTCCAAAAGGACAGTACCGCAAAAAGAGGTCAAGGCTCAGGCGAAGCCGAAAGTCCTAAGAAATTCAAAGTTCAGGAGGAATTTATACAACAAGTCGAATAATTATTACATCAAGATCAAAACGAAACCGGCAAAGAAAAAAATTGAAAAACAACTGAACATGGAAGGCGTCAACAATTATCTCGAGCCTGACTACCAGGTGAAGAAAATACCACAAACTGCCCCGGCCATGGCATATTCTGAAGTTTTGAGCGCTGTTTACAATCATAAGCGAGTGTCAAAATTTGTATGAAACAATTGTTTTTATTTTTTTATATATCAAATATATTGTAAAAAAAGTCTAGCATTTGTTGATAAAATAGAAGGTTAAGATCTCAAAATAAACCCACCTATTATGTTTAATAAAAGAAAACGATCTTTGATTACAAGAACAGTCTATATAAGTGCCAGTATAAGAGTTTCAAGTACTCACAATTCACCTTTAATATTTGTTTATTAGAGTTATTTATTTATTAACCTTTAATATAAGTTTATTAGTTAGATCTTGTTAAAAATAAATCTTGTATAATGAAAATAAATTGTTTCAGATGAGTTTTTGAACATGAATTATATTATTTAGTACTTTTTTTCATCTATTGTGTCCGATATCTGCGAATGGTTTTAGTAGAAGATTTTATTATGTTGAAAGAAGTAGGAATTCTTCTCAGGGGAATGGTATTTTGGTCTATATTGCACAGGAATGTGTTTCTTAGGTACCATAGTTTTTCCTATGTAAGACAGTTTCATATGTTATCTGTCACTTTTAGACATTTTTGACATTGGTCATATTTATTTATTTATTTATTTATTTATTTATTTACGGATCGAAATCCACTATAAAAAAAGACATTTTACAATAACAAAAATTATAAATAATATATGTAAAAATACAAATAATGTATATAAAAAGAATAAGGATGTATATACATGGTAATAATATAAATGGTAAATATAAATGATAAATATAAATGATAAATATAAAAATACAATTAAAGAGTAAAAACTGAACAACAAAAATGAAAGACATAATTACTAACTAAAACAAAATAAAGGAAACAAAATAAAGCTGAAAGACAATTGAAACTACAATAATTAGGTACATATTTAGTGAAAATAATGCTCTTTGTAAATATATAATAAGACTAGAGTCCGAGAATTAATTGAACTAGTAAATGAAATAAATTGTAATAATTTTGTACAGTATGAAATATAAAAGCATTCAACTAAGGTTATAGGATAAGGTTTTTCACAGATTGCACAGAACTATTGAAGAAGTCAATGCTATTGCAGATCTTGTAACTCTTGATCATCATTCTGTGTAGAGGATAAGAGAGCATGTAGTTAGAGCTTTGGAATTCAATATAAAATAATTTCTAGGTTTTAAGAGAGTGTGAAGGGACATGTAGCTGTAGTTGAGATAGGAGGGAAGGACTATCAATGAGACTGTTTAATAATTTAAATACAAAAACAATATCAAAGTAATCCCTTCTTAGTGCCAGTTCGAAAAGTTTAAATTCAGAGCGGATTCCAGGGTAGGCAGAATTCGGAGGAAAATTGAGTTTGTAGGAAAGTTTTTTAAAAATTTGTTTTGTACAGATTGAAGAATTTTTTGATAATTTAGATAGAATGGGTTCCAAACAGGTGTAGCATATTCTAGTATGGGTTGTACAAAAGCTTTATAAAGATGGACAAAACATAGAGGATTTTTAAATTCATAGGTGTTCCGGATGATGAAACCTAGCATCTTCATAGATCTATTTTTTATTGAAGAAATATGTTCTTTAAACTTGAGCTATTGATCAAAAAGTACACCAAGATCCTTTACGACCTCAACTCGCGTTAAAAGAGCATCATGGAGAGTATAGAGATAAATAAAAGGTTGTTTCTTATGAGAGAATGTAATTGTGTAGCATTTGGAAATCATATGATGATAGTCCATTTTTTGTAAGTGATATCTTCCTGTAATTATGTTCGCCTAAGTTTTTTTAATTCGGAACTACACTCCCACATCATCAAATCCATCAAAGATGATAACTTCAAAGAAAGATTTTAATTCCATTCTGTCTAGTAGGGTTTTCTTTTGTCCCATTGGTTTTTTTTTTTACAAGTAGTCTTTTTGCTTTCCTCATACCGGCATACATTTTTTTTTAAGCTAGTATGCTAGTATTTCTCCTGCTCTCCTGCCTCATAGCTGAATCTGAATTTCCCTCATGACCTGGGACCCACCTATTTTGTAGATCTTATTTTTTGAGGGTGTTCAAGCAGTTCTGGACTAGTTTTGAGTTTTCTTTAAAGTTTTCTGATAGTAGTATAGTTGCACTCTTGATGTTTGCTACTTATTTCCTATGTGTATGTTTCTATACCTAATAATTAGGCTTTGAATATGGTTGGCCGAGAAACCTAGGATTGATAATCTTGGCCCATCTATCCTCCCTGGTCAAATGGATTTCTTTTTTTCACTATTGTTAAACGTCAATTTTATTTAACATACACATTTCTACAAAATAATTATTAATTCAACATGTTGTTTCCAATCATTTAAGTGACATTCTTCTTCAAAGAAGTTCTTTTTGAACGTGGCTTTTAGTTATGTCAAAAAGGCATTTGCCCAACGTTTGGTTCCAAGGTTCCCTTTTGGGCTAGAATATTTGGTGCTTCGTTGCCTGGGGTTCCATCATGACCTAGGACCCACATCAGTATTATGCTATTTGTACATACCACTTTTTTAAGGTATTAGGCAGTTCCAGACAAGGTTGGAGTTGTAGCATTATGTTATTAATGTTATTTATTTCATGTGCACATTGTTCTTTGGCTATCAATTTTACTTGAAAGATTGTTGTGGTAGGTCAGAGGCCATGTGGCACCATGCCTCTTTATGCCCATAAGTATTATTTCACATCTTTGAGCTATCTGTTTACATTAGAAGAGTTTCAGGTTTTTCTTCTTTAGTTTTATCCATCTATTTTACTATCTTTTCAATAATTATGTTGAATGGTTTTCAAAAGTCTACTATTTTGTCTAATAGTTTTAGCCGTGTTAGTTATTTTAAGTTTGCTAATTTCGTGGTCCACTTGACCAATTAATATATTAAAATTAATTAAGGTTTTTAGTTGAGATAAAAAAGTCAATGGCACGAGCGGGATTCGAACCCACGATCTTCGGCTTGATAGTTGATACGCCGCTCTACCACTTGAGCTATCGTGACCTCGATCCACTCGGACATCAACTTCCTATCTCAACCCCACCTTTTGAGTTTTCCCTCCTTTTTGCCATTTTTCAAATGTCGTGTAATCGGATTGGATTAATTAATTTTAATATTTTAAGTTTGTCGAAAATTTTGGTATTTTGGACATTTTCTTTGATACTTTCTTCCCGATTCCGGTGAATTCTTAATTCCTTTTAACATATATACATACACATAAGATGTTCAATGGAACAAGAAGACCAGACAAAAAGAATTGCAATGATCCACTACTTCTAAAAAAAAAGGATCAATTAAAATTAACTGAAAAATGGCACTAGTAAAAGGACAATAAGCCAGAAGCCTGCATAACTTGGGAAATACCAAACCTCGCTTTCAGGGCTTTCTAGTAACCTATGCAGTAACCTAGCTATCATAACCAATGCATAGCCCACACTCCTTTGAATTTTACCCTCTTTAACTGTAGCGACGCACTAGGATGACAGTTGCTTCCTCTTCATTACAAAACATAATATGGGGTCATCATTGTATATGTTGTATAGGTGTTTTCTCAATTGCCAGTAACCAGTGTTTATCCACCATCACTCCTCTGAGTTTTACCCTGTAAAAATATGTTTGCCATTTTTTATGAGGCTTTTTTAATCAGCAGTTTACTGTGCCTGGGGCACCTCTGGAGTCATCCACTTCTCCTTTTGGTTTTGGCGGATCCAGTCTGAGATGGAGAAGTCAGTCAGAATGTTTGATTTGGTTATCCCAATTACAGATTCTGGGCAAGAAGGACTTGCAGATCCTCCTCTGATCAGTTTGTTCATTACCCAGAATTTTTTTGTAACCTAGACATTGTTAGATTTTATGATTTCCCAGGTTTTAGAGATTTTTGATGCATTTTCCGACTATTTTGGATGTGTTCTATTATATGTACGGCAACGCTATTGCTCCTGTGATTTTTTTTCAAGTTTTATTCCACTAGGTTAATGAGTCATAGGCCTTATTATTGCCATATATAGCCAATATGCCAATATGATTTTAGTCGCCAAGATTGAGTGTTTGGCTGCAATTATCAATTTTTTTCATACCCCCTATGGCCTTTTGTGTACCCCAGTTGCAAGGGTACCTCTGGTTGGGAACTGTGACTCAATAGTGTTTATTTTAAAATAAAAACAAATTCCTAAGGGCTAAAAAATATTTTATTTGTCAATACAGTGTAACTTAATTAATTTTTCATTTTGTTGGAGATCTTGAACGGTCTCGATCTTTCTTACTCTCTGATTCTACTTCTTTTTGGTCATTAGAGTCATCTCCCCAGTCACTCAAGTCATATTTTGACAGGTCATCACAACTATCCCCATCAACATCATCATCCTCTTCTTCCTCCTTGTTCGGCTTGTTTTTTTTCCTCCTCCCAAACTCATCATACTCATTGTCCGAATCATCTCTGCGTATATACTCGATCTCATCTCTTTCATTGTACCCACCTCCATAGCCCGTCCTCTCCTCGACAACCCCATATTTGGGTGTCTTGCACATGTTGCACTGGTTTCGCCGGGCCCAGTTGACATTGCCGCACTTGTTGCACTGCCAGTCGTCTGCGCTGAACAAGCCCCTGCTTTTTTCAGCTATCGCTTTCCCAATTTCCTGTCCCAGCTTCTTCCTCAAGGCTTTACCCCTTGGGTTAAAGTTTGCCTCGGGAAACTCACAGTTCCTTATCGCCTGCAGTTCCTCAGTCATCTTGTCTTTTAAAATTTTAAATAATTACAACAGACTAATTCGACAAATTCCTCTTTAAAATAACACTCTTAAAATTGCTCATATGTGAATAACCATATGCTACATAAATAACAAACCTTTACTATATTTTTTTAAAGAAGTTTAATTAATTTAATTCTACAATATTTCTTATTATTTTGCCACACTGTTTTAACACCTTTTTTAAAAAAAAATATTTATAAATTTTTATAGTAATTTTAAAGGATTCATTTTGAGTGATTGGCTTGAAAACTGAATGTATTTTTGGGAAGAAATGTTTGGTATGCCATTTGTTTGAAATAAGAGTACATTTTTATAAGAAATTATCTAATTTCTTTATAATTGCTGGTAT